CTGGAGTCGAGTGGCACAATCTCGGCTCACTGCAACCTCCACCTCCCGGGTTCAAACGATCCTTCTGCCTCAGTCTCCCAAGTAGCTGGGACTACAGGCGCCCACCACCATGCCTGGCTAAGGTTTTGTATTTTTAGTAGAGACGGGGTTTCACTGTGTTAGCCAGGACCATCTTGATCCCCTGAACTTGTGATCCATCTGCTTTGGCTTCCCAAAGTGCTGGGATTACAGGCATGAGCCATCACACCCAGTCCAAGTTTTGTTTTGTTTGTAAATTTATAGTTCCACCTTTATTATTATGCTAATATTTTAGACATCAAAATAGAGCCATCAAAATATCTGCAAAAATTCTTCCAAGGGATTTCCACTTAGAGAAGGATAGAATGAACCTTTTTGTTCCTTCCTATTTATCCCATTAACTGCAACCAAAAAATCCCAGACATTACATTCGAAAACTGTACAAGAAGACCTTGAAAAGTGCAGGGAAGAAAGGAGACCACACAGGAAGCTCTGGACCCAAGTAATGACATGGTGGTGAGCTCCGGGATTTTTGTTTTGGTTCCATATATCCTATATTTGGAGCTGAAGAGATCAGAAACCCAGAAATGACAATAGGTACATATATACACACACAGAGAGAAACAACATCTGACTCTTCCTAGCCAAAGGACAAGGAAAGGGCAACTTAATAAGATAGAAAAATTGGAGGCAATTAACACTTTCGTCCACCCATACCTAAGAGAAAAAAGTATGGCCTTATCCCTACCTAAGCCATCAATGTCCTAATGAATAATTTGCATTTCTGCCTTCACCAGGCTCTGACAAGATCTCCCCACTTTCTACCAGGGTAGTGTCAAAGAAGATCACATAGAAGCCAGGACATTCATCCCTGCCAAGGCAGCAACCAGGCCACCTTCTACCCTTTGTATCATCAGTGGAGATAACATAGGAATCCTGAACTTCTACCCCTACCATTCCTACATGTTGGGATGGTGTCACACTAGGCTTAGAGGAGAGTCAGGACTTTCACCGCCACCCAGCAATAACGACACAAATACCCAACCCCCCTACCGCCACCACCAGAGTGTCAGTGGTGGATGAGTTGTTTATAGTTACAAGGTATTCCTGTTCTTCCCAGGCAGGGAGGTATCAAGGAAAGTCTAGTGGAAGCTGGAAGTCCTGTCCATGCCAGTAGTAATAAAGAGCCCTTGCCCGCTCATATATCAGCAGGGAACAGGTAAAGAAACATGAGCTTCTACCTCCAACTGTCATTAATTCTACTTCCACTTCCCCTACTGGAGCAATACTGGAGAAAGCCAGCTAAAACTGAAGGTTTAAACAAGATCCAGAATCTCATAATGTCATACCCAAAATGTCTAGGTTTCAACTGCAAACTACTTATTACACCAACAATCAGGGAGATTTTAATGAAATGAAAAAAAAAAAAAAAATTTGGTGCTAATACCAAGGTGAGCAAATGAACCCCCAGCAAATGCCAGAGGCAATTAAATAACATTTGACCTCAGTTTCATACCTTATAAAAATTAATTCAAGGTTCAGGGGAAACTTGCCATAGCCTGGTGAAGGTAAAAATGCAGATTATTCATTAGGGCATTGATGGCCTAGATGGGGATAAGGCCAAATTTTTTCTCTTATGTATGGGTGGATGAAAGTGTTAATTGCCTCAAATTTTTCTATCTTCTTAAGTTGCTTTGGCTAGAGAGAGTCATATGTTGTTTCTCTGTGTGTGTATGATTATGCACTTATACCTGATAAATAAAACTATAAAACTTTTGGGAAAAAAACATAGAAGATAAACTTTGGAGGCTATACTAGGAAAAGAGTTCCTAAACTAATAGCTTGGCCCATAAAGGGCAAAACTGATAAATGGGATTTTATCAAAATTTAAATCTTTTTTCTGTAAAGGCTTAAGAGGCTGAGAGCACAAGCTACAGACTGAGAGAAAATATTTGCAAACTAGTTATTTAATAACGATTAATATACAGAAAATATAAAAAAATTATCAAAATGCAGCTGTGAAAAAAAAACCCAAAAATCCAATTCAAAAATGGGCAAAATACATGGACAGATCTTTTGGTTAAAAGGATACACAGATGGCTAATAAGTGCATGAAATGATGCCAAACATCATTAGTTATTATAAATGTGAAATGTCACAAAACATATTTTATATGTGTACTACACAGCAATCATATGAATGTCCTTAGTTGATTTTAAGGAATACCATTCAGTTTATAGCCCTGCCACTTAAGTGGCCATGTTTTCTAGACAATTCTCTTATAACCCACAATCTAATGCCACTTGACTAAGTCAGGAATGGCACTAGACCAAAAGTCAAGTAAATCTTAATTAAGTCATAATCTAAAATCTTAGTGATCAGGTGAATTAAGACAAGCATATTCTCTCTTTTGAAAATTTAAATACACACACACACTCACACACACACACAAAAGAATAGGCTTTGTGCTTATTAAATTACAGTCTCTCATTTCAAGTCCATCCTCCTCTTGCTCTCATATGCTGGGTCTGGGTCTGTGTGAAGCATATATTTTTCTTTGCCACCTGGTTCCCTGTTTGCCAATACAGGGAGACAGAGGGAGACTAGAAGCTTGAAACTGAAGAAGAAAGTGATTCCTGCTTTTGACAATGTCGCCCTGTTGGTTCCACTAGACACTGAGCAGCAGGTGGTTCTATTTTATACATTTTTCTACAATTCCAGAAAAAACCTAATTGTACTCTTTCCTAGTAGTATAACTGGTACCCCTTCCTCAGTGATGGGATTCCAGTTCTGCCTGTGGATTCCTTTCTAGTTCTTCAGGCTGTAATACTGGCTGAGTAAGATTCCCTACAAAATTCTGTATCCCAGATCCATGGGTTCCCCAATTTAAGATTCTGGGGTACAGCCCCAGCTAGCAGCCTGTCCTTAAAGGCAAGACTTTTAGCTCTGTGGAGTCCTTGCTGAGCTTTTAAATTTCCTCCATTTTTTCAAGGAACACCCTCACCCATCACTCCTCTATTCCAGTTCTTCAAAGCCCCTCCTCCAGTATTCTAAATTCTGATAATCTCTGACTCTTACTTTTGTCCCTGTACCTGGGATATCCACTTCCTGTAGTTACTACCTTTATGATTCCTCAGTGTTTTGTTTTTTATCTTTATTAATTGCCAGTAACTGGCTAACCATTCTTTGATAACTCTGCCTATTAAGATACATGATGTGGTTTCTGTTTCCTGAATGTAGCCTGATTTACACAGGTAATTAGTAGCAGGAGTTGAAGCTGTTAATGGGAAAGCAGCTGCAGAGGCCATGATTGGCTATGTGCAAGGCAAAATTTTAAGAGGAACCAATATTAAAAGGTGAAGAACAACAATCAGAAGCAAGAAAGAACAGAAATGAATAGACATTCAGGGAGAAGTAGAGTTTCAAAAAGTTTGAAGTCTCTGTTGCTCATAAGAATGACACAGCATATAAGAAGCTTCTAGAACTGCCTTTCTTTTTTATTCTTAATTTTATTTCTTATTTTGGTTTTAGTTCCAGCCTACACGTTGCCAGAAAAATTCCCTTTTTACATAGGTCACCTAAATGAGTCTTTTTTCTCAAAAAACAAAAGAGCCCAATGAAATAACATCCTTCCTTGTGTATAAAAAGAAAGACTAAGTTTGAAGGCAAGGGAAAAAAAACCAATTACATATGTTTAAAAAACAAGATTCATGTCTTCTCTCTCTTTTGGTTGATATTTCTCTTGAGTGACTGGTACCTTATCTTTACCTTACCATTGCTTCATCATCTTTAGAGAGCACTTCACACTTGCAAACGCCTTCATATCTAGGTTCTTATGTGACTCTCCAAATAAAGTGATATCCCTGAAGATAGATTAACATATCTTCTATTCAGCTTAATCTACATAATATGATGGAGTTGATGAAAGAAAGGGTTGTCTTCTGGGAGAATCATGAGTTATGAATGTAGGACAGATAGCTGTTATAAATGCAACTGAGAGAGAGCTAAATATTAACAGAAAAACGCATGAGCAATACCTTTTACCTTCATTTCCGGTCTACTTATAACATATCTACTTATGCCTTAAGACAGCACAAATAATTCAAGTAGCTGCCAGTTAAAAGAGAAAGTACAAACTTCTCCCCTACCCTGAATGGTGCTTAATTTAACTAAAATTTGATCTTTTTTTCCCCCTTAACACAGAGAAACCCCATAGATGAATGAAGAGATTGTTTCAATTGTGCAGAGCTAGGTAGCTCCTATTTCTAGGTATGAGTCTCCTTGACTCTTGAAGGTATAACAATTATTAACTACAGAGGATGGCACAACCCAAACCTCCAGCTTACAAACTGCCACTTGTTCTCAGTTACTTAGACTTTCATTTTTCCCCACTGGTTCCTTCAGACAAGTGGAACTTACCCAATAGCCCAACAGAAAATATTTTCATGCTGTCACCATATCAAGCTTTCCAATCTCTTCAGGTTAATCTCTTCAGGTTTTCAGAGATAATTGAAAGCCAGCAACCATTCCCAAACACTTTGTTCCATATGAATGACTGAACCACTGCCCCAGTTTCAAAAATAGGAGCTGGGGCTTCACCATTTGTCCACCTGTTTTATTCTGAATACCAAGCAGTCCAATCTGCCACTCTTTTAACTCCCGTGGTAGTGCTCAGAAACATCTGTTTGGAAACAGTTTGACTCCTGCCCTTCTGCATAAATCACTACTGGTAAAAGTTTTATGAGGTGGGAACTTTTCCCCCCTGCTTTCTCTTTTTTGTAACTGAATGAAGCCCAAATGAACAAGATGAAATGGCCAGACATTTAGCCATATGCTGGCATCCACATGTATACATTCGGGAGGGAAGAAAAGCTGTCAGCTGTACCAAAGGAGAATTAGAATTATCTGAAATGTAATTAACAACCCCATAGACAATGAATTTTTGAAGGATTCCCATCGAGTAAATTATGCCTCTCACTTACCTGTAGCAAATTGTTCATGGACTGGTTTCCCTGTTTGCAAAATTTGAATCCACTTAATTTAAGGTGATTCCAAAGTAGTTTCAGGATGTTTCCATATTGTTAATCCACATAAGTTATCCTTGCTTTTTCAGTAACTCCTACATAAAACAGAATAAAAGGACATAATTAGTATTATTTAATGCTCAGTAAATGCTATAGGTAGATTTTAACACCTACAGCTCACACTAAAAAAAAAAAAAAGAAAAGAAAAACACATTGACCGTTTTTATTTTTTATATGAGAGAAAATAATGGGAAAACATTTTCTTTTTGAAAAACTATACCAATGTTATAGTATTTTGGAAATATAATTACACCAAGTAGTAGATGTCCAGGTGACTGGTACAGGCTAAATAAAAGTTTATTGATTAGAGACTCAATATAATAGCTTTGATTAAAATTTGCTTGTTCCGGCATGCCCTAAGAAGGTGGAAAGAAATTTAACATCTGAGAAGTTACCATAGGCCCATGAGCTACTTTTACACATATTATTTTATTCAACCAGTAATATTTCTTAGAACTTACTATCCAATTTACTGTCTGACAGATTTTTTAGCCTAATTTTTCAAATTATGAAGCAAAGACAAAAATAGGGGATGTTAGATGATAAGTCCACTTAAACTGAATACACTATCCACTTATTTTAGTCAGACGGTAGGGAAGACCATTGATTATTGCTTTGTTTTGTTTAAATAATTAATATCAAAAAATTTTTTGTGTGTTGAATCTGACCTAAGACAAATGAAAGGAGTTATTTTGATACTAAGCTAATTAAGAATTCCAAAGAATCTTAATGAACTTCCTGTCACAATATATCATATTATGAAGAAACACCTTAAGCACTATTAAGTAAAATTTGGAGAAGGCTGTGTTTTAGTCTAAATCCTGCAATAGGCCCCAGTAGACCAAACCAAAATGGAGCCACTCATATTAAGTGCCATGCAATTGAAATAATACTTTAAAAAACAGGAAAATCTCCAAAGAGTCCATCTGTTTCCCAAAATAACTACAGATTCACATGAACCATTTGAAAAAGGGCCAGTCATCCTGACCTAGCATGATAAGGAAGTCTCCTCGACCTTAACTTTCCTAACAAGAAAAGTGACCTGACATTAACCAATCTGCTTTTATGTATATGCTGTTTCCTTGTTTCTGCTCAAGCTACCTTTGAAAAACTGACAGTTCTGCTGTATCTAATGAAGTGCATTCCTGTTTTCATAGATGAGATGCTGCCCAATACATAAATGATTACTAAAAGTCAATTCGATTGTCAAACCCAATTTGTTAAAATTTTGTTATTTGACATCACATTTTTTCCCCATTACATTTGTTTTTTGCCTGAAATTGCATGTCTATTTAGGATTTACACTATTCTTTTAACTAAATTTAACAAAAATAACTTCCTGTGCATCTAAACTATATTGCTTATTTAATGTAACATTCATTTATATTAACGAGTTTTTATTAAGAAACTGTCAGCCATAGTAGTTCTCTTTGACCAGACCATAAGCATCATTATGACATGACAAACCACCCATTAGTTCCCTCTTGTTTCCAAAAATAGCCAGCAACAAAAAACCCTCTGCTCCTCACATTAAACTTCTCTCATTTGAAACATCCCAAACTGCTCAAGTTCCCCCTTGTAGCCAACCAATACTTGTAAAATGTTCCATTTAGATAATCTCTCTAGTTTCCATAATCCCATCTTAATAGAACATTTGCCAGTCAGATAAGTCTGACTATTTTTTAATTTTACATCCTAAAATTTACTCTCCTTCCAACTCTTTGGAAACTAGGCTTAAATAAAAGATATAGCAGAGGTATCCCCTTGCCACTTTAGGAACAAACAGTCTTTGAACATTTTTTTCTCAGACTTAGTTTTGATCAGCGTCATACTGTTTTATTAGAGGAATATTTAGGACAATGTGTAAGTCTAGAGAGAAGTGTCTTAACATGTTTTGCAGATCCTTCCTGGTACATGGTAAGAAAACATAGTACAGCTAATTAAAAATAGATGGGAGAAAAGGGAGAGAGAGAGAAAAAAAAAGAAAAAAAAAAGTCCTGAATTACATGGGAGAATGAATACTAAAACTGGAAAGTAGAATAAATGATTGCCCAATTCTCATTCAATTTATGAAATATCTAGAAGACACTTAATCTATCAATGTCATATGCCATTGTTAAAATTTAATAAAATATCCATCTATTGGAGATCCACTATCAGCTAGGCACCAATTAAGCAATTTCCATGCATTATCTAATTTATTCACTAGGGAAAAATTGGGGCATCAATAGAAAACTATATATTCAGCAAACGCTTCTGCTTATCAGAAGGTGATTCTATGGAATAAGTCTATAGAATTTGCACTCAGTCAATTGTAAATACCTGCTATCAATGCAAAATAATTTTCTCTGTAGATGGTTTTATTTTTCTGTTCAATAATGTGGTTCACTTGACTTCCTTTTCCATGAAAGAAGTTAGTTTTGCTTGCATTTACAAATCCATTTCAATATTTCTTATTTTTATGTGTCTTTATTTTGGATTTTCCTTTGAACTGGTTAGAATTCTCCAGTTCTGTCATTGGTAAATGAGTGATAAAAAATCTTTAACATCTGTTGATTTTATATTTGTATGAGAGTTGTGATTTTAACTTTTTTGAAAATGATCTTTTGACCATTCTTTACAAAAACTCAATTGGGGATATATATTATTGAAAAATTTTACAGACAAGTCTTAGCAGGGGCTCATGACTTGCCTAAAGGCCACAAACATCCACTGTACACCTCCTGTCTGTTAGGTAATATGCTAGATGCCAGGGCTGCAAAACTAAACAAGGTTGTCTTTAGCCTCAGGGTCAAGAAAACAGGAGAAAATCTTTAGTGAGGATTGCCCCATGTGTAAGGAGCTTTCATAGATATCCAGGAACTAAAAACATTTGATGAATACATACTACTCGAAATTCACTTGCTATATAAAATATTGAACTCAAGTAGATTCAAACAGTGTTATACTCATTATCTCAATTTGCTCTATGAACTCTTCTTAACTAAATTCAGGAATGAAATAGACTTGTGTAGGAAGAGATACTTAATTACTATCTTCTAATCCTTCAAGTCACCATATGACTCACATTTTTAAGGATAAGAAAAATGAGGCTCACTCACATTTTTAAAGATAAGAAAAATGAGGCTCAGAGAAAGCAGTGTTTTTTTTTAAAAAGTCACAGCACTAAAAAATAGGAAGAGATAGCAGGATCACACAGCCCAATGTCCTCATTGAAAAGATGAACAACTAGAGCTTATGGGAGACAAAGTAGCTCCCTAAAATCTCATGTCCAGCTAGAAGCAAGGCCAGATGCTCCATCCATTGCTAATACCTTCTACTGCATCTTTCTACTTATCTGAGACAGTGAGGAAGGAGAATGGAACCACATATTAGAATCAGTGAGAAAGGAGAGGGGAAAATTCTTAAACTTCTCTAAAGGTTTTCAGAAGGAAAAGAGGGTTCTGATATAGTTTGGCTCTGTGTCCCTACCCAAATCACCTTGATTATAATCACCATAATCCCCACATCTCAAAGGCGGGACCAGGTAGAGGTAACTGAATCATGGGGACAGTTTCCCCATGCTGTTCTCATGATAGTGAGTGAATTCTCATGAAATTTGATGGTTTTATAAGCATATAGCATTTTCCTTGTTGAATTTTATTCTCTCTCCAGCCATCCTGTGTAGAGGTGACTTGTGCAATGATTGTAAGTTTCATGAGGCTTTTCCATTTATGTGGAACTGTGAGTCAATTAAACCTCTTTTTAAAATAAATTACCCAGCCTCAGGCAGTTCTTCATGGCAGATTGAGAATGGACTAATATAATTAATTGGTACCAGGAGTTGGGTGCTAATAAACAGATAACCTGAAAATGTGGGAGTGACTTTGGAACTGGGTAACAGGCAGAGGTTGGAACAGTTTGGAGGGCTTAGAAGACAGAAAAATGTGGGAAAGTTTAGAACTTCCTAGAGACTTGAAGGGCTCAGAAGACAGGAAGATGTGGGAAAGTTTAAAACTTTCTTGACACTTGTTGAATGGCTTTGACTAAAATGCTAATAGTGATATGGACAATGAAGACCAGGTTGAGGTGGCCTCAGATGGAGATGAGGAACTTGTTGGGAACTGTAGTAAAGGTCACTCTTGTTATGCTTTAGCAAAGGGACTGGTGGGATTTTGCCCCAGCCCTAGAGATCTGTGGAGCTTTTAACTTGAGAAAGATGATTTAGCATATTTTGTAGAAGAAATTTCTAAGCAACAGAACATTCAAGAGGTGACTTGGGTTCTCTTAGAAGCTATTCAGTTTTATGCACTCACAAAGATATGGTTTGAAACTTAAACATGTTTAAAAGGAAAGCGGAGCATAACTTTGAAAAATTTGCAGCCTGATGATACAACAGAAAACCTCATTTCTGAGGAGAAATTCAAGCCCACTGCAGAAATTTGCACAAGTATTGAGGATCTAAATGTTAATCATCAAGAAAATGGGGAAAATATCTCCAGGCCATGTCAGAGGTCTTCATGTCAGTCCTGCCCATCATAGGCCAAGAGGCCTAGGAGAAAAATACTGGTCTCATAAGCTGGGCCTAGGGCCTTGCTGCTTTGTGCAGTCTTGGGACTTGGTGTCCTGCATTCCCGCTAGACATTCTAAATGGGGCCAAGGTACAGCATGGGCCGTTGCTTCAGAGGGTGCAGGCCCCAAGACTTGGCAGCTTCCATATGGTGTTTATCCTGTGAGTGCACAGAACTGAGGTTTGGGAACCTCCACCAAGATTTCAGAGGATGTATGGAAACGCCTGTACATTCAGACAGAAGTGTGCTGAGGGGCAGAGCCCTCATGGAGAACCTCTGCTAGGGAAGTGCAGAAGGAAAATGTGGTGTTGGAATACCCACACAGAGCTCCCACTGGGGTACTGCCTAGTGGAGCTGTGAGAAGAGGGCCACCATCCTCCAGACCCCAGAATGGTAGATCCATTGACAGTTTCCACTGTGTGCTGGGACAAGCAACAGACACTCAATTCCAGCTCATGAAAGTAGACAAGAGGGCTGCTATTCCC